CGCCCCTGCGCCAGCAACGCGGCCCAAGCCAGAGCCCCGTCGGTCCTTCGGAGACGAGCACGAATCATCTAAATGACCCCTACGTCGATCCTTTCTTCCCTGTTCGGTCGCGGTGAGCCAGGACGCACTCGCATCCCATCTCCCCCGCTTCCAACAGGGAGGAGAGGATCGGCATGGCGCCATTTGGATAATTTGGCTCGTGCGTCCTTAGCTCCACGTGCATACTCAGACAGTTGCGTCGAGCTCAATGTCCCCGGGCCCCAGTCCCGCCTCAAAGACCTGCACAGGGGCCCCTGGTCGGGGGCCCTGCCAGGCAGAACAGTAGCAGCAGCAGCCGCGCGCTGCCGAGCCCCACCTCTCAAGCCAGCCCCAGATGCATCGGCAGGCGCAGCGGCAGCGTCGGAGCCAATTCCAGATGCATCGGCAGGTGCAGCAGCGTCGGCCAGCCGCTGCCTCAAACCGCGCGCGCCCATGTCGGGCAGCCTTGCCAGGTTCGAACCAAACCAGCTTGAGCCAAAATGTCTACGGAGTGCGTGTCAAAGGTTTGACCAACAACTCACGCATCCCAACCTTTCAACCTAAAATTGGTCGCACAGCAGCGCCGCGAACTGCGAATCCTCAGCGTCGGCCCCGAGCGACCCCAGGAGCGCAGAGCACTCATCCTCGCGCTTCACTCTGCGCGAAGCGAGCTTATCTTCACACTCTCGCGCCCCCCCTGGAGAGGGGCAGCTCCCCCGCCCATGCCGCGAAGCGCGGTTATCTTCGCGCCCCAGCGGGTGACCTCAGAGGGCCTCGTCCTCTGATGATAATGATGGTGATGATGGTGATGATGATGATGGATGGTGATGGTGATGATGATGATGATGATGGTGATGATGATGATGATGCTGCTGGTGATGATGATGATGCTGCCTCCTACTCCTCCTCCCCCCCTCCTCCTCCTCCTCCTCCTCCTCCTCCTCCTCCTCCTCCTCCTCCTCCTCTCCTCCTCCTCCTCCTTCCCCTCCTCCTCCCCTCCTCCTCCCCCTCCTCCTCCTCCCCGCTCATCCGCCCTGGGCGGGCGGCGCGCGGGTCGCGCCTCGACCATCGCGGGTAGGTGCCAGCAGCCGCCGGGGGGGCGGCGGCGGCGGGCAACGACGACGACGACGATGATGATGGTGATGGTGATGGTGATGATGATGATGATGATGATGACGCTGACGACGACGATGATGACGATGCTGATGGTGATGGTGATGACGATGATGATGATGCTGATGATGATGATTGTGATTATGATGATGATGATGATGATGCTGATGGTGATGGCGATGATGATGATGATGCTGACGCTGATGATGATGCTGATGATGATGATGAGGATGATGATGCCTCCTCCTCCTCCTCCTCTCCCAACATGTTTCAACGTGATTAGAACCATGTTGCGCATTCTCAACAACCTCTTCCTCCTCCTCCTCCTCCATACGGGACCCTCTCGGAGCGGTCTCGGGCCGTCTTGGAGCGCTCTTCGGGGGGGGGATGTGCGCGCGTGTGTGTGCGTGTGCGTGTGTGTGTGTGTGTGTGGGGGGGGGGGGGGGGGGGGAATGACGGTGGCGACGATTTTCCTTTTGTCTGCCCCCGTGGGCGGGGCTCATCTCGCTTGGCTGCCCCGCGCGGTTGAGCTGGCAGCTCAACCCGAATCCCACGCTCGAAATTGCCGAGCTCATCGCGCTGCCGAGCTCCTCGGGCTGCTTGGCGCCTCACGCTGTCGCCTCGAGCCTCGAGCCCCACGCTCGAAGTTGCCGATCTCTTGCGCTGTCGAGCTCAGCCCCTCTTGCGCTTGCCCTTCTTCGCCGTCTCCTTGTAGCCATTCTTGTTGGCGAATTCCTCCACCTGCTGGTACTTGCTGTTCATGCTCTGGATCTGCGACAGCAGCTTCGGGATCTCTGCAACGTTAGCCTCCTCGCTGTGCATCCGCTCAAGGATGTTCTTCGTCGACGTCAGCTTCTTGACGAATGACTCCAAGTCCGTCTGGAACTCCATGTGACACATATCAGCGCGGGACTTCGCCCACGTCAAGATGAGCTTGGCGCCCAGCAACTTGTCTTGAAACTCGCGGCACAGGCTGGGAAGGTCCCCCTTCAGCTCAACCGCTTTCTTCACCAACGCGGCCTTCCCCTGCTCCTTCGCGTCGGCTGGCTCGGCCTTCACCGAAGATGCACTGCCCATGCTGCCGCTGGCTGCCCCAACCAGCTCCGCGTCGGGGCCGCGCATGCGGCTGGCAGCCTCTATGTCATCCCTGGAAGCGTCTCCATTGGTCTATTGCACGAATTGCTGGAGCTCCGCCGTCGACATCCTCTCCCAATGGGCGGGAACATACGGGAACGGCATACTCCAAATACTTGTCGTCAGTCCTGCCTGTCAAGGAGTCGGGCATCGCTTTGAGCGCAGATCTCCAAAGCTTTGCTTTCTCGGGTCCTAGTTCCTGGTCCATCTTCTCGACGCCCATGCGCACGACGTCGTTGTACTTCGCACCCTTCTTCTCCAAGACCCGCGCCGTTGAAACTTTCTTAGTGGCCTCAGCGCGCCTGCTTTGATGGGTGACGAAGTTCACGAGGAAGCGCTCGGAGAACCTGTTGTCCTTGGTGACGGTGTCGTCTGGGTTCGCGTTCAAGAACGCTTTCAAACCCTGCTTCAGGCCGTTCAACTTCTCGGCGCCCGCTGCCTGTAGAACCCGACGAGCTGCCTAAATATCCTCGTTCGTGAGACAGATCTCTGAGATCTTGGCGGGGGCGTGTTTGGGCCCCATCTGCGGTGCCCGCTCGGCGGCTGGAAGCCACCTTCGAAAATCACTTAAGCCAGAGATGGCTACGGAATGGAAGGGGGGCACGTAGCCCGTTGAATTGTGAGGCGTGGCAAATCGAAATGACGGGCTGCACAATGATCGAACGAAGGCGTCAGGCCCATTGCCGATGTCACAGCCGCGGGGCACGACAGCGCACGAACGGCAATGCAATGCAATGCAGCCCGACCGTTGCTTCTAGCTGCCGACGCACATCGGCGCGCCAGACGTTCGTCGCTCGCGGCCCAGGGAACTCCCAAGGGCACTCCAGGGTCGAAGAGTAATCGAAGAATAGATCGAAGAATAGCTAGTCTTCGATCACTCTTCGATCGACCCCTATCGAGGACCGTCGATCGAAGAGTGATCGACGAATAGCTATAATTCGATCTATTATTCGATTACTCTTCACTCTTCGATTACTCTTCGATTACTCTTCACTCTTCGATTACTCTTCGATTACTCTTCACTCTTCGATTACTCTTCGAGTACTCTTCGAGCTTCGATTACTATTCGATTACTCTTCATTATTCGAATGATCTTCGGGTACTCTTCTCTATCAAGTTGTTTTATGGTGCCAGCGTGTATGCAACTGTCTCTGACTGCGCCTGCACCGTATGTGGGGCTTCACCGGCTTTGAAGAATCTGGACGCTTCCTACTGCGTTTCCCCAACGCCTGTCATACACGGGCACGCTGGACCGAATGCTTCACACGTGGAGCCCCAGGGCAGGTGGACGATCCGCCTTGATGCGATGGCCAGCGGGCGCGGGCCGACCCGAGCATTCTCGCAACATATGTGCAAGCGTGCCTAGTCCGACTCCCCAACCTCATTGCTGCTGTCGTCGCTGTCAGAGGCTTTGAACAAGGCGTCCGCCAGCGGGTTGTCGTCGCTGTCATCGTCGGTCACCACGGGGCCCTTCGCCTCCTTGGGGTTCGGCTTGGCAGTTGGGCGCTTGCGCGCGGCAGCAGCCTTGGCCTTGGCCTTCTTGCCCTTGCGGTCCGCGCCCTTGTCCGCATTGTCCTGCCCCTTCTTCTTGTCCTTGGCCTTGTTGCCCGTCTTACCTGCACGAGTAGGTGCAGCCGCAGGAGTAGTAGATGCAGCGCCATCTGCTTCCTGGCCGCCATGGGCAGTCGGTGCAGTGTGCTCATTGGTGAGGCTCTTTGCCTTGGCCTTGCCACGCGATGGCTTGGAGAAGAGCGCCTTGACGTCGACCTCTGCCTGGGCCGTGGAGTCCACCAGCTTCTCGTCGACGTCAATCAACTCGCCGATGACGTTCCGCACGTGCACCTTGAGGGTCCCGAACTGCTTCTCGCACCTGTGGCGGGCGGTGCTGGTCGACTGGAGGATGCCGTCGATGTTGTCTCGGTCGAAGTTGCACCTGTTCGTCTGGGCCGCGAACTCTGAAATCTCCGCGGCGAGATCGAGACAAGCGCTCCTGATTTTGTCGCACCACTTGCCATCCCCAATCTTCTCGAGCCAGGCTTCCGTGACCACCTGCATGTTCTCGAGGGCTTGGAGGTCGCTCGTAATCTCGGTGATCTTGCCGACGAAAGAGTCGACTGTCTCAACTTCACCACCTGCGGTCTCCACTATGATGACCTCTGCAGGGCCTTCGCGCTCTGCAGGACCTCCGCGATTCTCTGCCATCGCCGCGTCTCTTGTGCAGGGACAGACGGGATGACCTGTCCTTGCGAACCTAGACGGTGAGCTGCGCCACTGAAAGGAACAAACTCGTTGTCCGTCATTGGTTTAATGGAAACGGCGCTCGGGCCAAGAATGGCAACGGGGGTCAGTGGCGACGGAGGGGGAAGGGCCCCCAGCACGAGGATCGAGGAGGAGGAGGTCCCCAGCACGAGGATCGAGGACGAGCGGCCCCCAGGGGAGGGCGCGGAAAGACATTCGCACGGAAGGCCGAAGATGAGGGACGCGCCAGGGCCCCCTTGAGGGGCCCGGGCCCGCGTCGCCACAGATTCACCGAGTCGCGTCCAGCGCGGCGACGCCACAGAGTGAAAGAGCTGAGCCACGTCGCCACAGAGTTAACAACCGACAGGCGGGGAAGGGGCCACCGCGTGAAGGCCAAAGGACCCGTGCCGACGCGCCGTGGGGGTGCCTCCTCCCCCCCCCCTCCCCCCCCTTCCTCCGCCTCCTCCTCCTCCCCCCCCTCCTCCTCCACCTCCTCCTCCTCCTCCTCTCTCCTTCTCCTGGTCTCTCCCTCTCTCCCTCTCCGCCTCCGCCCCCTCCTCTTCCCCCCCCTCCTCCTCCACCTGCTCCTCCTCCACCTCCTCTCCCAACATGTTTCAACGTGAGTAGAACCACGTTGCGCATTCTCAGCGCGTCTTCACGCGGCACGCTCTGCACGTGGGACGCCCCATAGGCAAGGGGGATTAGTAGAGGAGGAGAAATGGAAGGAGGTTCTCCGCAGATGCGAACTCATTGTTTGCAAGGTTGAATGGCGAAGCACGGCGACGATTATGATAACGATGGTGATGAGTATACTGATGATGGTGGTGACGACAATGATGATGTTGATGATGCTTATGGTGATACCGATGATGATGATAATGATGCTGATGGTGATGGCGATGAAGATGATGATGATGCTGATGATGGTGATGCTGATGATGATGGTGATGGTGATGGCGATGACGACGATGATGATGCTGCTGCTGATGATGATGATGATGATCATGATGATGATGCTGCTGATGATGATGAGGATGGTGATGATGATGTTGATGATGCTGATGATGGTGATGATGATGATGATGGCGTGTATTTTCAAATGCGCAACCTCGCGCCCAGGCGCTCCCCGCGCCACCTGGGCTGCAGCATCAGCCTAGCGAACGCCTAGGCATCCCGACCCGGCCAGAGAGTGCTCCACCGCTCCGCTTGAGCGCATGCGTAGACCTGCGCCTTCTTGCAGGCCTCCTCCTTAGAAACGCCCTGTGCGAGGTGGTGCCCCTTCTCCAACGCATACGCACGGCTACGGACCCTCTTGCGAATGACCAATCTCTTGCCATTCATCTTGAGATAGGGCTCGATGGGGCCCACAGCGTCACTGGCCACACCTTTGGCGCCCTGCTTCGCCGTTTCCATCGGCGTGGCCATGTCCTTCGAGTCATCTGGCAATGGAGTTGGCACCATGGTTTTCTTCTTGGATTCTGCGTGCTTCTTGGTCTCCTGACGGCTGACGGCCATGTAGTCTCCTGGAGACGGGCCAGCCGCTGCGCCTTGAGCCAGCTCCGCCAGCTGAGCGGCAGTGAGAGGAACCCTCGTCGAAGTCGATGTGGTGTCCTTGAAGAGTTGCTTCTCGAACTTCTCGAAATCGGAGTCGGTCTCGCTCGAGTCGGAAATCTGCGCGATACCCACGGGCTTCTTCACAATCGGAACCTCGGTAACGACATCTTGTTTGCCCCGCATGCGTTTAGAGGCTGGCCGATCAAGATCAGGTGGCCCCAACTTCATTACCAACTGTCAGGGTGCGTTTAGACGAGAGTTGCAACATGTTCATCAACGCGGCCAGCTCCGAGAAGTTCCTGGGGGCACCTTGATCTCGACGTTTGCGATCCAGCAGCGGCTGCAGCATCATCCGTGACCTCATTGTGCAAGCATCGATCTCGGCTGGCTGCCAGTCGAAGCCACCCTCGCGAAGCACCGGCGTGAGCTGGCGACATAACGACAACTGGCGAGGGATCAAACCACCAGACTTCCCTAGGCAGAAGTGAAGTTCCGCAAAGGCCTTTTTCATTGCACTCCAATCGCTCGATAGATGGTTCTGCGTCACCCGCTGCAGACTCCACAATGTGTTGGGCGAGCGCGACGACACCTTCAGATGTTCGGAGAATAACGTTTCGGCAACATCATCGGGGAGATCACAACCAGGCGTCCGAGCATGCATCATTGAGCCCAAAGTGGCTTCTGAACTGACGAATGCGCGTCCCCCCCCTCCTCCTCCCCCCCCCCCCCCCCCCCCTCGTTTCATGATGTTATTCTCGGGCGCCTTCTTGATGTAAGAGTGCCCGCTTCCGCCTTTTTGGATAGACCACTGGTCAACTTCGGGGCCCTCCTCATTGGGGGGGCATACGGTGGTGTCGCGGCTGAGGAGGGGGGGGGGGGGGGGAGGGGAATTTGGACAGTGAGGAGGGCATGGAGGATGTTTAGGAGGAAGGTGGATGAAGGAGACGACCGTATTCATGATGTTGATGATGATGCTAATGATGGTGGTGGGTGGTGGTGGTGGCTACTATTTCTATTATGTTGTTGCCACGGATGATGGCGACGCTGCTGATTGTGATGTTGTTCATGGTGTTGATGATGGTGGTGGTAGAGCTGTTGAGGAAGAATTGTAAATGAGGATAAGGAATCTACTCTTTTCAGTGCTTGACCCGTCAAGCTAATGATTCCCACGGGCGCCCTAGTCTAGAATCACAACAACGACGTTGCCTGAACTAGGGCTTGGTGCACTACTGAAAGAAGCATTCGGATATACACCGCTCGGCGACGCATTCTGAGATACGCTACGGGGCGAGGCATTCTTCTCAGATGCACCGCCAGGCGAGGCATTCTTCCGATATACACTGCTGGGCGAGGCATTCTTAGATCCACTAGGCGAAGATTGCTTCAGCTTTGGCAACCAAGCTCTGACCATCGGTTTGTCCTTAATTTGACACCACTTTTGAGCATTATGTTTTTTATTTCTTTCAGCCTCATCTTGAAATTGTGCCCCCACTCAGCTGGCATTCGGTCGTGCATCGGATGCACTGGGTCGAAAGCTGGATAGATGTTCCATACACTGTTGGCGGCGTTCTTCTTCTCAGGGGCACAGAGATCGATCGCCATCGCCCACCGCGTCAACCCGAAAAAGATCGCGCAGGCAACTGCGCGCATAAATACCAGGCGCTTGAACCCCAACGCCTACGGACCCAACCTGCAACGAAGCGCGATTAATTATCTGCGCCTGTTCTTTTTCATGCTCGCACATTTCGGCATCCCCCTCGCACACTGCGTGGCCATGTGGGGGGCTCCACCGAAGGTCCCAATGAAGTGCGCACACGCTCACGCGCGTCATAACCCCATGGAGAATTACACCGAAGACGGCGCGATTGCAGAGTGGCACACGGCCCCAGGGCCCTCTGAGGGGCCCAGGCCCGCGCCACCATCTCACCAGCGCGGCGACGGGAGAGGAGGAGGGAGAGGCGGAACGCGCGCGTGACGGCCGCCCCCAAAAGGATCTCCGCGGCGTCAGGTCGTCGCGACACAGGTTTTAAATGAAAACCTTTAGGTCTTGGTTTTTAAAGGAAGACCGTATCTCTTACGGGTTTGCTTTATCTTTCTGAAGGAATTCAATGTTTTACGGGTGGAATTTAAAGGATTCCTCGATTTTAATGCGACAGGCATCGAAGAACATCCGTAAGTTTATGCAATCCGTTAGTTTTTTTTTAAGATACCTTACTATTATGAAGATGTTGATGGTCTGGGTGTGCAGCGCTGCTCGCAGAGCTGGCTTCAGCCTCTGGCCGCGGTGCCGGGCGCGTGGGCATCGGCCGCGCCGGCAGCTCTGCGCCGCGCAGTGCCGAGGATTGCCGGGGGGGCGGCGGCCCCGCACTGCCGGCGGGCTCGTGCCGAGCCGGCTGTGCAGCGCTGCTAGCAGGGCTGGCTTCAGCCTCTGGCTGCGGTGCCGGGCGCGTGGGCATCGGCCACTCCGGCCGCTCTGCTCCATGCAGTGCCGAGGATTGCTGGGGGGGGGGCGGCGCCGCGCTGCCGGCGGGCTCCTGCCGAGCAGTCTGTGCAGCGCTGCTCGCAGAGCTGGTTTCAGCCTCTGGCCGCGGTGCGGGGCGCGTGGGCATCGGCCACTCCGCCCGCTCTGCGCCATGCAGTGCCGGGGATTGCCGGGGGGGCGGCGGCCCCGCACTGCTGCCGGCGGGCTCCTGCCGAGAAGGCTGCGCAGCGCTGCTCGCAGAGCTGGCTTCAGCCTCTGGCCGCGGTGCCGGGCGCGTGGGCATCGGCCGCTCTGCCCGATCTGCGCCATGCATGCAGTGCCGAGAATTGCCGGGGGGGCGGCGGCCCCGCGCTGCCGGCGGGCTCCTGCCTAGCAGGCTGTGCAGCGCTGCTCGCAGAGCTGGTTTCAGCCTCTGGCCGCGGTGCGGGGCGCGTGGGCATCGGCCACTCCGGCCGCTCTGCGCCGCGCAGTGCCGAAGATTGCCGGGGGGGCGGCGGCCCCGCACTGCCGGCGGGCTCCTGCCGAGCAGGCTGTGCTGCGCTGCTCGAAAAGTAAGCTTCAGCCTCTGGCCGCGGCGCCGGGCGCGCGGGCATTGGCCACTCCGGCCGCTCTGCGCCATGCAGTGCCGAGGATTGCCGGGGGGGCGGCGGCCCCGAACTGCCGGCGGGCTCGTGCCGAGCCGGCTGTGCAGCGCTGCTGGCAGGGCTGGCTTCAGCTTGTGGCTGCGGCGCCGGGCGCGTGGGCATCGGCCACTCTGGCCGATCTGCGCCACGCAGTGCCGAGGATTGCCTGGGGGGCGGCGGCCCCGCGCTGCCGGCGGGCTCCTGCCGAGCCGGCTGTGCAGCGCTGCTAGCAGGGCTGGCCTCAGCTTGTGGCTGCGGCGCCGGGCGCGCGGGCATCGGCCACTCCGGCCGCTCTGCCCCATGCAGTGCCGAGGATTGCCGGGGGGGCGTCGGCCCCGCGCTGCCGGCGGGCTCCTGCCGAGCAGGCTGTGCTGCGCTGCTCGAAAAGTAAGCTCTGGCCGCGGCGCCGGGCGCGCGGGCATTGGCCACTCTGGCCGCTCTGCGCCATGCAGTGCCGAGGATTGCCGGGGGGGCGGCTGCCCTGCGCTGCCGGCGGGCCCCTGCCGAGCAGGCTGCGCAGCGCGAGCTGGCTTCAGGCTCTGGCCGGGGTGCCGGCCGGCTCGTGTTTCCAAAAACTTTGGCGGCTACGACATCACGAGCATCGCGCGTTCCGTTGAATGAGGCCCCCATCTCGGAATTCACCTGAGCACTGCAAAGGCCGAGCGCCACCGCGAAGTCGCCGTGCTTTAATGTTAGCGGATGGGAGAACACCATTCGCAATGGACCAGGCTGTGCAGCACTGGAATTTATTCATGTTGTAGCGATCATCAATCCACGCGAGAAGGGTGCCGAGCTGCATGAGCCCCGCGTTGGAGTCGCCGCCCCAGATGAACGGGCCACCAGCGCATGCCGGGTGAAATGCGGTGAAGCACAGCAGACGCCTGGCCACCGTCAGCGGTCGTTTCTGCGAGGAAGGTGTGTGGCAATTGACGATGGAGATGGGCTCGCCGCGCTCGCTCGTGCGAACGCGGAAGTGTTGGAAGCACCGGTCCAGCTGGGTTTGCACGAAGTCCCTGATGACCCGGTTGCTGAAAGACCTCCACCCGATCGGACAGCACGAGAGTCGAGTCGCGCAATGTCCGTCGGCGTAGATAGCGACAGGTGAGACCGCGCTGTCGGCGAGCAGGTTGCGGATCCAGTCGCTGACGTTGCCGTCTGGGAGTTTCTTTCCAATGGCCACGCCGAGCTCGCCAAGTTCGCTGAGGCAAAGGATGTCCAACGCGTGCTCGTTGGCTGCCTTGGCGATGTCCGCGGCCAGTTATGTGTCTGTTTTGTGTTTCCGTTTCTTCGTGCCGACTTGCGACGCTTGGATGCCCACGTTGTAGGACGCCACCGTCAACTCGGATGCTCCGTCAGGCAGCGCAGAAAAGGTGGGCTGTGCAGCACCACCTGGTGTCAAGGTGGGCCGCGCAGCACCGCCTGCCCCACTCCGCCAACCTCGGGGCATGAACGTGAGTTGCTGCGTGGTTAGGACCTCCGGGCTTGAGAAAATTTTCACGGAAGGAGGTGATGATGATGATGATGAGCAGAGAGAGAGAGAGAGAGTGAGAGAGAGACAGATGATGATGCGCAGAGAGAGAGAGAAAGAGAGAGAGAGATATACCCACACACATGCACACACATACAGGACGTCAAAGAGCTCCTGATGGGAGGCCAACGGACTCACCATCGATTCGTCATTACATGGGCACTTGTATCGCTAATGAGGTGCTTTGATAGTGTAGTTCTGCGTATATATATACATATTCACACATATATATATATATATATAGAAGTGTGTGCAACTATCTGGAAACATATGCATTTGTACATATGTAACTATATATATATATATATATATATATGCGATCGGATGGGAGGCTGGCGGATGATGCGGAGCGAAACACATCTTTGGTTTTGGCCACTGCGAAGCAATGCTGTGTCACGCCGCGGCGAACACCATCCAGCGACCGCGGGCTGTGCAGCACCGCGGATTCGCCTTACTGCGAGCAAGCGGCCGCTCTCCTGCTCCTAGGAAGCGTGTGCAAGCGTTCAGCACTGTGGAGGTTGTACAACACTGCACAGGGATCAGCGCCTCGCTGATCGGCTTCGGGCACGACGGCTGGTCCCTGCAGCACGCTGTGCAGCGCTGCTTCGGAACAGATTCTCAAAGCTTGCCCGACTGCTGAACGAGACCATTGTTCGTTATCTGTTTCCTTCCTTAAGCACTGCCGCACGCAAGCGCTGGTGCACCTCGACGACATTCCGTTTTTTGTTGGATGGATCTTTTTGTTTGATAATCCACGATTTCAACAGCCTGCAGCTGCCTCCGGGCATCTCTCCAAGTATCGAGTTCTAAGACACGCAAGGCCTCGCGAACACGGCATATAGGATCCGTCCTCCGTTTTGTTTCAGGAAGCTGCTCCACCCAATGCCAAAGGTCTGCCAAAGTCTCGAAAGGTGCTGGGAGGGCAGGTTGTTCAACGCTGCCGTCGGTAGAGTCTCGAGAACCAGGCTGTTCAGCACTGTTGGTTGATACCTGTGCAGCACCACCTGGTGCCGAGGCGGGCTGTGCAGCACCGCTGTCGGGGCCGCACTGTGCTGACTGTGACATCGGCGGCTGTGCGGAGGGTTCGCCGGGTTGGAGAGCGGTATGCCATGGGTTGCGCCGGAGCAATAAAGACTGCGGTACGGTGATAACGAGATGCACGCAACCGGGATCCCGAGTCTGGACTCGGCCCCGGCTACACTCGAGCAGCGGCTGGCTAGACCTCTGTTCATCAACCTCTGTCTGCTACCACTGGGGCCCGCCACCCCTGCCAATGAGGCTCTGGCTGCAGGCTGCGCAGCACTGCTGGGGCGCGTCGCTCAAAAGAGTTCTGGCAGGAGGCCGTAGGCGCGTCCAGGCTCACCGGCCACCAGGGCGCTCAGGGCCGCGAGTCGGAGGAGCCGCCCAAGACAGCCCCCTGCCCTAATGGCACAGGCCGCCGTGACGCCGGTCGCAATCCGCGCGCAACGGCGCCCGCTGCCCCGCTTTCCACGTCTCCAGCGGCAAGCGGGTGGAGGCGAAGCACCCGTCGCAGAAGCACCCCGTCCGCAGGCCGCAGTCCACGCATGGGCGCCAGAAGACGTGCTCCTCTCCCTCGAAGGCCCACGCCATCACCTCGAATGGTGTGCCACCCGGCTGAGCCTGCCCCCAGCGGCGCTGCGCGCCGGCGCCGCTGGCCCCGCTGCCGGCACTATTGGCCATCTGGGTCACCGGTGAGGCTGATCACGTCTAGCGCTCGAGGCAAAGTGGCACCGGAACCCGGAGGGGCATGGAACCCGGAAGAGACAAGGGGGGGACAAGCCCCCCGCCCAAACCGCGCAGGGCCCCCTTTGGCCCCGAAACGAATTTCGAATACAACATGCACAATCGGATGGGGAGCTGGCGGGGGATGCGGAGCGAAGCACATCTTGTCATGCATTTTGTCATGCCGAAGTGCTCTGTTATGCCGCGGCGAACGCCATCCAGCGACCGCGGGCTGTGCAGCACCGCGGATACGCCTTGCTGCGAGTAAACAGCCGCTCTCCTGCCCCTAGGAAGCGCGTGCAAGCGGGGAGCAATTACGTCTACATCATGACCATACTGTATGTGGGTCTACCTGTTGGATGCTAGCGAGGGACGGGTAGCGAGACACCACAGGCTATGCAGCACCGTGGATACGCAGCCCCGCCGCCACGAAGAATGAGCCGCTACGAAGAATGTCGTGGCCGTCGCGGGTCGTCATGGAAAGATAATGTGGGTGATGAACACACGGTCGTGGTGAGCTCGTTAATCCATCAATTCTTGGTTTATCGCAGGGTCGGTGGCTCCCATGCCCACACCACCGCACCAAACCCCTTCGCCCCCCTGCGATCGTGTTTGTCGCCGTCGTCGTCGAGTGGCTACTGATGTAGAAGTCGTTGTAGTGCCGACGCATGATGCCCGCGGCTGCTGTCGTGGACATTGTGGCTGCAGGCTGTGCAGCACTGCTGGGGTGTGTCGCTCAAGAGAGTTCTGGCAGGAGGCCGTAGGCACGTGCGGCCTCTCGTGCCAGCTCCCTCGTCGCCTCGACTTTTTCGCGGAAAAGTCGATCGAAGTTGGCGACGATGCGAGATCCTCGGGCGGGCCCTGTTCTATGACGCCACGGATCTGCCTCGTCAAATTCGCGGACTTGAAGGTAGCAAGTGAGCGAGGCCGTGAGAGCATGACGTAGACAATCAGCCATCGGATGGTGTCGGAGCATCGTTGCGGGAAGAACCACTAGGCCACCAGACCGGAGCCTGCCGCGGTGCCCTGCGTCGAATAAAGCGGGACGGCCGCCGCCGGCATCAGCGGTATCTGTGTCCGTGGGACTATGACGTATTTGGCTTTCTCCGTGGGTGAGTAGAAGTGTTTGAACGTGCGCGGCCTAGGCCGGATGGCCATGACGCCAGGCTGTGCAGCACTGGTACAGCGAGTGCACGTTGAGCTGCGCTCGGGATGCTCCGGACACACTGCTGGTGGTAAGAGCTGGAGATCGCAGTCATCCAGCTTCACGTAAATAGCCTTCGGCATGAGAGGACATGCGAATTCCGCGGCGTGCGAGGCGGATGGTGACCGAAGCCTGGTTTTCGGGGTGAGGTCGGCGGGGTCCGGGTCAAAACCGACAGCGGTGCCCTCGACGTCCTGCACAGCAAAAGCTTGCTGGATCGCGGTCGCGAGCCGTGCTCGCATGCCGTAATGGAAGAGCACCACCGGTGGAAGGCGTCTCGTTCTCTGGATGCTGGGTATCCGAAGTAAGTCCTCGTAGAGCTGCGTCGTGTTCGTCTCTGGTACGATGGCTCTGGCTTGGTCCACGGCTTGCACGTAAAATGAAATTTGCCGGGCCTCACGGGCGGACTGCCGTGCGAGCATGAACGCGGCCATGATGATGACGCTCCAGCAGTAGCACGAGTGGTACCACGACTCTGGGATGTCAGGCTGTTCAGCACTGACTTCGGTGTTCTTGAGGGCCTGCCACTGATGCTCCGTGAGGGCCCTGCCGCCAGGCACCCGCACGGTGTTCAGAATGTCGATGAGTGTGTGGTCGGTGAAGCGCATGGCCTGTTGGAGCTCGACACTCAATCCGCGTCGCGTAAAATCTTGGCCCCGACTTTGTGCTCGTTCGTAGCGCCATCGAGCGGTGCTGGCATGCTTGGCGAGGCTGGGACCGGCGGTTGCTGCAAGTGGTCGCCGGAGTAGACCGCCACAGGTAAGCGTCCCCACCGCTCCTGAGGTTTGAAGTACACGTCCTTGCTCAAGCCGCATTTTGCCTCGCGGGCGTACGTGGTTCGTAGAGCCCTGGCGTGGTTGAGCTCGCCTTGTAGTTGTGAGTACTCGTCGACATGCAACGCGCCAGCGTCGACGTGGGCGGCGGCAAGGTTTTGGCGAGTCCGCGCGTTCAAGGCCAACGCGCGCGTTCGCATGGAACTCTCGGGCGTCAGCCCCTGGCCAGAGCGCGCGGCGCGACCGCCGATCAGTCGAGCGGGTTTGTTCGAAGGGGCACGTCGTGGGACTCCCTCGGGGCGAAAGAACGTCTCGAGTAAGGGCGGCAAGATCTCGGCGCTCAAGGTCGTCTTGCCGCAGCCACCCCCGCCGCCCATGATCGCGGTCTTTAGGGCGCGAGCTGGACGGGGCCACGGCTTGCTCGGATCGGGGCGCTCAAGGAAGGCCTGCTCCAGGCGGGCCACGAAGAGGGCAATGCACTGGAGCTGCTCTTCGTTGAGTTTGCAGGGCCGCGTCGGTGTGGAGCGTCGCCCCTGGCAGCGTCGAACGAGCATCTTGGCCGCGTGTGCCGGGCCTCGTAAAGCGTCGGTCATGTCAATCCACTCACACTCCCGCTGTTGCTGCAACAGGTTGTTCAACGCTGCCTCCGGAATGAAGGAGTCGATGTCGTCGACGGGCATGTCGCCCTGCATGGTGGCGGTGGGTTTCAGGTGTTTCATGATGGCGTCTTGCATGTCGAGCGCGGCGGTGAGCAGGGCGAGGGGGGAGCCACAGCTTCTGTGGACCTGCGCAAGTTCCACGTCGTTATCGGGCGACAGGCTGTGCAGCACTGTGTGGAGGTCGTCCAAGGTCTTCATCTGTTTCAGCTCTTGGCTCTCCCGACCGGGTCTCTTGGCCGCTTCAAGTTCTCTGGCTCGCGTCAAGATGCCGGTCAACTGCTTCGCGTTCAGGGCTCCGAGAAGTGGTGAGGAGCGTTCTGCGGCGTCGACCACCTTACCTCGTTCTCGGGCTCGCCCGGGTCGACGCCCTCGCCGCCATGGAACTCCGTCTCGACGGCGTGTGGTGTGTCCGTCGGTGGTGCCTCGAGGAGTTCGTCCTCGGCGTGCTCCCTGCAGCCCGTCCTATGTTTCGTGGTGCATGCAATGGTGAGGCCGTCAAGGTGCTGGATGACGCTCTGTGGGTGATAGGCAGAGAACTCTGCCACGGTTAATCGGTGCTCGTGGTGGAGGGGCGCGTTTTAAAAAGGCGAGGATGGGGGGTGCGAAACAAGGCAAATCACGGCCGCAATGCTGGATCCACCGCTGAGAGAGGCAGCGCAAGAGCTCGAGCGGAGGAGCACTCCCGGCGCCAGGACTGTGGACACGGCACAAAGTCGTGTCTGCAAGGACGGGAATGCGTTTAGCAGCGTTGCTCTTTTCCTCCACTCGTACTGCCAAGAGCTCAATCTCTGCCCACCGGGCTTTCCATGCGGCCGGCAATTCAAAGTGGCGGGGTCCGTCGGTGGAGAGAAGGCTGGTCGGCACAGCAAGGGGTCGTTGCAGCGGCTCTGTCCAGGGCCATCAAGCAAAGTGCCCATAAGTGTATTGTACATTGCGTTGTCCTCGCCGTTGTCCATGTCCGGTGGTGAACAGCGGAAGGCCTCCAGCATCGGTAGTGTGCCTTGGCCCTTTGCTTTGGGTTGTTTTAAATGGGATTTGGCGAGCTCGCAGTGGTCGTCGAAGGCAGAAACGTGCTCGACCCGTTGGGTGTCCGCGACCCGGGCCTTGACAGGTCGTGGGCTGCGAAGGACGCATGTCGCGCAGGTGTGTAAGTCGAGATCAGCGAGGAAGGGGCCGCGATGCAGCCAGTCGTCATAAACCCTCGTGGCGTTCGTGAGTGTTGCGACCCCGATGGCGTCCGTGACATTGTCCGGGGTCTCGCCCGCTTCTCGCGCGGAGTCGATGAACGGTGACGGTCCGGGAGGCGGTTCGGGGCGCTGTTGGTCGGGGGCCTCTGCCGCTTCGTCGTCGGTGGCCTCTGCCGCGGACCCGCCCTGAACGACTTCCTCCTCGCCCATGTCCGGCCCTTGGGTAACGGGCTGTTCAGCGCTGTCTCGGAAGCCAAAGGAAGACGAAGCAGCAACTGCAGGCTGCGCAGCGCTGCTTGAGGAAGCCGCAACGGCGAAGGCGAGGACGTCCACTGCACGGCGGTCGTCGCGTGAAAGATCCGGTGCGCCCAGCAGTCTCGTCGCCGCGTTGGAGGGGCCGTCGACACTCCTGCAGCATGTACATCAGTCTGCTCAAGAAGACCGCGACGGGCACGTGAGTCGTCCGTGCGAGAGCACCGGTGGTGATGTAGCATGCGAGTTCGCAAACGGAGCACCAGGAGAATCGGTTCGCAGCCGTCGCAATCCGTAGTGTCGTCTTGCGTGCACGATCATCGACGGATGGCTCGGCGTCCGCCGCGTCGTCTTCCACCTCGAGGCGCCGGAGGCCAACGGCGATGTGTGTCAGCGAACCTTGGAGCTGTTCCAAAGGTTTGCCCTGGTACTTCGTGATGTAAAAAAAAAAAAAAAAAAAAAAAAAAAAAAACACAGCTGCGAGCGGCTTGATGCGTCGCCACTAGGGAGTGGAAGCACCGACAGTGGTGCATCGGGCAGCTGCAGCCGCACGCCGTACATTGCGAGGGCAAGCTTCGGATCAGCCTGTGGAACGAGCAGGGCCTCGGTCGAGCTTGGGAAGAACTGCTCCGGATCCTGGGTGCGGGGCATGAATTGGGAGTCGACGTTGCAACGGCCACGCACTTGCCCCGCGTCGGTCGTTGCCGATCGGAAGGGTGCGTGTCGAGCAATGACGACCTGGCCGAACTAGTTGCGATCGTTGGTGCTGGCAACGTAGGCGGTCTCGACAAGTTTCTTGCCCCTGCGGCGCATGCGTTTCACACCGTTGTGAAGGGGGTCGGAGAGAAATGTCACGATGTGAAAAAAGAAGAAACGGCATGCCACGACGCGGCCTATTCGCAGCGCCTCCTCGGCGGCCTCCTTGCACTTCTTCTGAACGTACTTGATACAAGTGCCCGTGCAATCGTGGTCGTGGTTGAAATGGTGGAGTGCACGGAAATCACGACCGAAGCTCAAAGCGAAACTTATGGCATCTGTGATCAGATCCTGGAAGTTAGCAGGCTGTCCAGCTCTGCCTTCCTCATCTGGGGGCGGAGCGACAGGCTGTTCAGCACTGCCATATTCACCTGGTGGATGCAGGAGGCCCGCGATGTGGTCGCTCTCCTCGTCGGCATACCAGCTCAATACCGTGGTCGGCACCCGAACCCGCTGAGTGTCGCTCGCCATGCCAACCTCATCCAAGGGAGTGACGTTGCAAGCGCTCTGTGAAAGACGATACGTGGGCATGCGGCTCTGGTGACAGCCTTGCAAGGAGTCCTGTGAGTAGCACGACAGCACTGGCCGCTGCTCCGCATGTGCCCGGCAGTGTTCCCCGACGCGGTGGCCGGGGAGCTCCTGAGGCGTGGTCTCCAGGAGCTGTCTGTGGGTGCCGTCCAGCTCTAAGCCGCCGTCGAGCCGCGACTGAAGCTGTTGCTTCCTGGTAAATTTCTCAGCCGGCACGGTTTTCCCCATCTGGGCGGCGGGCAGGGCCGACGCCTCGCGCTGCAATGACTCAGCGCAACTGATCAAGGCCTGCTTGAGCTCTTCCAGCAGGCTGCGCAGCACAGCCGGATCTTGCTCCCGGAAGACTCACGCGACGTAGTGCTCGCGGGTGGTCGGGATCTTGTAGACTTTGCGGCGGCCGTGCTGAAAGCCGCGGGCTCGGGGCTCGAAAGGTTCGAGTTCCGCGACGCCGAAGCCCCCGAGGCCGGGTGCGCAAGTGGAGGGGAAACGGTCTTCTCGGAGGGCGTGGCGGAAAACATGCCGCACGTGGTGCCTGCCAATGAAGGAGCCGTCGATCCCCATAAAGTAAATGTCCGCGACGTCGTCCATGAGCTTGAAGAACTGAACCTGTGCCCGCGGGGGCTCCGCAATGAATTGCTGCATGCGGTGCGACGATGGCATGTCAGGCCGTTCAGCATTGAGATCACGCGCGACGTCGCAAGTGACCTCTTCGCCGCTGCAACGCCTGAAAAGAAGTGGTGCGTAGTTGTCGGCGAAATTGACCGTGGCAAATACTGTCAAGGAACCAAACGCCACGTTCAAGTTATGGCCTTCATGTCGTAGGTTCCGTTTGTAGCCGTCTGTCAAAGGTACGTCTTTCGTGCTGATGAGCACCTGTCGTACGGCAGTGGCCAGTTCTTTGGAGACGCGGTCGTCTCGTGCGAGCGCCTCGACGCTCGCGCCCCCTAAAGCCTCGTGGGCGAGGGCTTGGAGGCAATGTGCTGAAGTGGCGTTCGCAATGAGCCGCGCATCTCCCTGGAATCCTTGTCGTCGGACGGCGGGGCGCGCGCCCTTGAAGAGAGCAAGGCGGCGCATGGTGTCGCCGAAAACACAGACGTGTTCCAGCGTGTCGAACCTGCTCTTGCGCCGAGCCCGGCACGGTGCCGGATCCTCTTCGAGATGGTACTCGAGCTCCTCTCGGTGCAGGAGGGCGGCAAAGAGCTGCTCAAAAATGACCTTACGTGGTCGCTGTGAATCGTTCGGGTGGCCGTCGCCAAACCGCCACTCGGAAAAAAAAACATTTGGACCACGTCGTCGGGTCGAACATGCCCATCGGCTTCTGCGAGGGCGCGAAGGGGGCCTTGTCGCACTCGGCAGCCTTGTCTAGGAGAGCGAGGCTCCTCTCCTAATTGTGGGCGTTCAGCTGCCGGGCGGGCCCTCGCAAGTCCACGGCGGCCCTGGAGCAGTGCTCCTCCGCAGCGGCTGTGGCCGTGGCCAAGGAAGCTGGCTGTGCAGCGCTGCCGTCGCTCTGTCCGCTCGGATTCCGGTTGACGGAGGAGCTGGGGGAGGCGACTAACTCCCGCACGCGTTCCAAGTTGCGTTCACAGGCGGCCGCGTGCTGCGCGAACGCGGGCGCGGCCGCAGGGCCCATGCCTATTGGGGCTTCGAACTGGTCGAGGTGCTCCACGTTTTGTGAGGCAGCGCTAGGCTGCGCAGCGCGAGCTGGAACAGCCTCCCCTGGCGCTGTCGCAGCGCGCTTGTCGTCGCCGCTCTCGGAAAGCTCGTCGGAGGCATCGCCCTCGGGGCGGGCCGCGCCCGCGGGATCGCGGACGGTGCCCGGCCTTGAGCGCGTCGAGCTGCAACGCTCGACCTCCGGCATCTGGGCGGCGCAGTCCAGGAATTGCTGTGGCACGCCGTTGAGCGGGAGGGCATTCGCGGCGGCCTGGTCCACGGGAATATCCGCGAAGATGGCGTTGACCCGGGCGCGCTCCGCAGCGACGGCCCTGTAGGCGTCGCGCTGCACGGTGAGGAGCTGATACTTGCGCAAATCGTCAGCGCCCTGGCCGAAAATCACAACGAAACTGTCCTTCAAGCGCGTGGGGGACGGCGGTAGTGCATCCGCGAGCGTGGCCGCAGCTTGCGAGATCAGGATGCGGCTGCCAGCGAATCCTGACTGCAGCGTCTCTTTTTGGCCCTTGCCTAACACGAGTCTGCGAAAACATGCTCTTCCAAGGCCCAGTCACATCCGTAGATCCAGGGATGCGCTCTGAGGGGCCGTGCGCCCCCGACCAAGCCAGAGATCGTTCGCGAGGGCAAGCTCAGGCATTTTGATGAACTTCTCTTCGGTGCACAAACAGACAGCGCAATCGTGGCAAATATGCGCTGTCTGGTCAGGATCGCCGATCCCAGCGCACATCGGTGCCCCGACATCGCGGACTGCAGGCTGTTCAGCGCTGCCCTGCTGGCCCCTTTGGTGCACAGGCTGCGCAGCGATGCTGGGGCGACCCTGCCGGCTGTCGGGCGCGAGCGGTGTGCGTCGGGCGCGTAGCAACCATGCCATGGAATGGTCTGAATGGTGCAGCGCAGAAGAGGCGAGGCGCTCAGCTTTCGGGATCAACGGCCATCGGTCCATGTACCCGTCCGTGGACGAGTGCCCGTTGAATTTGTCACGGTTCCCGAAGCAAAGAGTGTCGCCGCAGGTGGGGAACGTCGAGGTTCCGCTGTCTGCGCGCAGGAACTGCGTCAATGTCCGTTCATCGGTGGCCTCCCGCCAAAGGTACACGGGATAACGGTTCTCAAGCCGATCTTTCCGTGCACAAGCGGCGCAGGCCGCCTCGCACCTCGCCCCCGCCGCGGCGACGGCCTCTGGGCGGTTCCAATGGAGCGACAAGGAACCAGGCGCCGAGAACGTCGAGTGGAAGGTGGCGGACTGCAAGATGTGCCTTTTGACGCAGGGCAACAAGGGCTTGAAACCATCCTGTTGCGCTCGCCACAAGAGCCTCTTGCGATGCTCCGCGCAACCGCCGCGGGCGTCGGAGCAGTGCTTGAAGAAAGCGCCGTTGTGCGCGAACCCTTCGCCGCAAATCCAGCACGTGACCGGCGGCGAGGCCGCGGGAAGCGCGAGGTCTGGTGCTCCTACAGGCCGCGCACCACTGTTGGATGCCGACGACGAAACAAGCTGTGCAGCACAGTCTGCGAGGCGGGTGAAGTAGGCCGGGCGCCGGTTCGCCGCGAGTACCACATCCGCACCACGCGCGCCCTGGGGTGCGTAGCGCTTGCCACGGTCGCCCTTGAAGTTGAACAGAAGCCGTAGGGCAGGCCCAAAGCGTAGAATGAATGCCCGTGGAGGCTTCCGCGAAGTGAGCAGGAGGCGAAATAAGGTGCACGTCGCTAAAGTGTGTTTTGAGAGTGGTGTGGCCGTGATCCCGTGTGGCTGAGCGCACAAGAAGGAATCCTCCGTGGCGGCGTTGAAGAGCTCAGCGAAGTGGCGCGCGTCGCGGCGGCGTGCCCCTGGGATCTCGAGGGCCTTCAGCAGCCAGTCCTGCTTCAAGTGCCGCGCGCAAGGATCGCTGTAGAACTGCTGCAGCACCTCGCAGACCTCAGGGACGGTAAGGGAGGAATGTCGCCGCTCTGAGGCTGTCTGTACATGGGACTTGCGGCGCTCTGTGATGACGTCCTACAGGGATGTGGCCGTGCGGTGTGTGCTCAGTAGCACATGAAAAAGGGGCGCCTGGTAGCTCCGACGCTGCCAGCATCGTCAGAGAGTACCACGCGTAGGCATTGAAGAGCTGCTCGTTCGGGTCGTGGCGTCCGAGCGGTGTGGTGGGCAGCGTCTCGGCGTCGTTGAGGCGTGCGTGGAACTCTTGTGCGGCGAGGGTTGGCGCGTGCTGCGTCGCGGCGGTGGCCTCGTGGAGCTGCGTGAAGAACGGGGAAGTTTCCTCGTTCAGTGGCCCTCTTGTGGCGAAGTTCGTTTGGATTGCGGACACAAGGGGCCGGCATGCAACGGCAGTGACCGCGTTGCAATCACGGATGCGGCCTCTGCGCGGTTGTCTCCGGAGCTGAAGTGTGCCGCGATGTGCGTTGTAGAGAATACGGATCTCTGCTGATTGGAGTGTCCTGTGACTGGCAGGTATGCCTTGCAACTGATTCGCCTGTCCAAGCAACTTCGCAAGTGCTTAGCTGCCGTCGTCGTCTGCAGCCGTCTGGCGTTTGAGTCGTCTGAGCTCCTGCGCTTTGTGGACCATGGCTCGTCGTAGCTCTGCAAGATCATCGGCGCTCGAGCCATACTGAAGGATGCTGCGTTGAAAGTGTTTGGGTCGTGCTGCAAGTGGAGGTGGCGGCACCGCTGCTGCTGCTGGCGTTGGTGCTGTTGCTGCTGCACCAGGTTGTGCGGTGCTGCTATTGGTGACGACATCTCCCTGCAAGCCGCTGATCCCTGCGGCGATGGCTGTAGCCGCTGCTGCTTCGTCGGTGGGCTGGGCTGCGCAGCGCCGGCGTTGCTCTCCACGGCTCCGGCAGCACCGACAGAACTGTCGGAGTTTTGCGGGTGGCCCCGCAGGATGTTCACGATGGAATTGTCTCGCTGCCGCTTGGTGGGTATGCCAGGCTGCGCAGCACTCGCCTGCGCATCGGTGCGTGGCGACCGTGTCGAGCTGGAGCTCGCTCCGGCTCCCCGTGGCTGGCTCTCTGCTGTGGAGAGCCTGACTGCTCCTTGGGCCAGGCTGCGCAGCGCTGGTCTCGTCGCGGGGGCGTGGTGCTTCATGCGCTGCTGCTGCGGGTTCGTCACTGCCTTGGAGTGCCGCGCTGAGTGCTGCTGAGGCGGAGCCCGACGAGGCTCCTCCCCGGGGCGCTGTGTCTTCGCGGCCAGGCTGCGCAGCACTGACACTGTGGAAAGGTCGTTTACCGGTGCACCCAGCAACAGCAGGCTGTTCAGCACTGCTCGCGGCTCCTGCAAGTGCTGCGGGCTGTTCAGCACTGCTCGCACTGGGATCAACACTGCTCGCGGCTCCTGCGAGAGCTGCAGGCTGTTCAGCACTGCTTGCGAGGGCCCCGGTCTGGCCATCGAGGCTAGATCGGAGCCTGCTGCCTTCGGTGATGACCGCCTGCTGCAACTGTGCGATCAAAGTCGCTAATGGTCGGCGTCGTCTCTGATCTTTCTGTCGCACATTCCATGAAGAGCAGAGAGGGGGCACCTCTTCCCGTCGAGGGTTGGGCGTTTTCGTGAGCACCGAAACTGCCGCACGCAGTTTTTGAAAGTCTGGTGTGTTACACGCAGCACCCTGCACAGTCAACCACCGATTCACGGCCGCGATGGAACTGAACGTCTCTGCAGGTTGTTCAACACTGCTTGGAACATTGTTCTCTGCAGGATGCTCAACACTGCTTGCTGGGTCTCGTGCCTCGCCACTCGAACTCCGTAAGAATACCCGCGTGACGCAATACACTGCTGCACGTTTTGGCGTGGCTCCGCGAGTCACGGAATTGAGGCTGAACGGCAACGAGGATGAAAGGCATTACGACGCGGTGCTGAACAAATACATGCAAACGCACACACGCAGACACACACATGCAGCATTACACATGGGTGTTATGTATATATACATATACACATATAGTTGCATACGTAGAAAGACATTCAGCACATGCGATAATACGTAGGCATTGAAGGGCTCAAGCTGCCCCACTAAGGGCTCAAGGTGGCCCACAGTAGGACAACATGCATGGAACATACGTGCACACACATAAGTGTATGTATGTATGTATGTATATATATATATATATATATGTGTGTGTGTGTGTGTGTGTGTGTGTGTGTGTCGCAGCTGCAATGGTGGATGCTGTGCTGCGCTATGCTATGCTATGCTATGCTATGCTATGCTATGCTGCGCAATGCTATGCTGGGCTAGGCTAGGCTATATATGCTATGCTATGCTATGCTATGCTATGCTGCGCTATGATATGCTATGCTATGCTATGATATGCTATGCTATGCTATGCTATGTTATGCTTGTGATTTGCCTTCGCTTTTGCCTTTACTTGTGCCTTTGCTTTTGCGGGGCACCCAGGGAACGCAACTGGGGGAACCGCGCGTTTGCTTTTGCCTTTGCTGTTGCTTTCGCTTGGGTCCCAGGGGACCCGGGGAGCCTCCCGGGGCGCTTTCCACTGCCCGGCCTTTTAAGCAAAAAGAGTAAGAACCCTTCTAGGCAGAGCCTCGGTAGGGAACGAAAGGAATTAGAAATGAGCAGTGTGTATGTGATGATTGCGGCTCTATAGCGCAATACATGCTGCTCCCTGGCCGCCCTCGAAAAGGCATACGCGGGATGCAAGCCCGCGTGAGGGAGAGCACGCTTAGCAAACGCTAAGCGCTCATATGCGAGCGAATCGAGTGGCAATAGGACCTGTTTTCCAAACCATCCTGTGATGTCGGGTCCTCGTTTTGAAGAGACAGCGCCCCGCGTTCCTCCTCCATCCTCGCCTCTCCTCTCCTCTCCTCTCCATGTTCGCATGCGTCTTCCCCGCTCAGTACAGCGTCTCGTGGCCCCAGACGCAACTCCACCGAAGGTCCAAGTGGCGCAGTTCGCATGCGCCTCCCACACCCAGTGCAGCGCTTCGTGACCCCATAGGGAGTTCCACATAACATCCCAGTGGGCCAGTTCGCATGCGTCTCCCCCAGTCAGCACAGCGTTTCGTGGCCCCGTAGGGAACTCCACCGAAGGTTCCATTGGCGCAGTTCGCATGCGTCTCCCCCGCCCAGTATAGCGCATCGTGGCCCCAGAGGGAACCTCACCGAAGGTCACAGTGGCGCAGTTCGTATGCGCCTCCCTCACCCACTACAGCGTTTCGTGGCCTCACTGGGAGCTCCACCGAAGGTTCCATTGGCGCAGTTCGCATGCATCCCCCCAGCCCAGTACAGCGCATCGTGGCCCCAGAGGGAGCCGCACCGAAGGTCACAGTGGCGCAGTTCGTATGCGCCTCCCTCACCCACTACAGCGTTTCGTGGCCTCTGTGGGAGCTCCACCGAAGGTTCCATTGGCGCAGTTCGCATGCGCCTCCCCCACCCAGTACAGCGCTTCGTGGCCCCAGGGGGGGCTCTACCGACAGGTCCCAGTGTCGCAGCCCGCATGCGCCTCCCCCACCCAGTACAACGTTTCGTGGCCCCATAGGGAGCCCCACCGAAGGTCCCAGGAGCGCAGCCCGCATGAATTTTCCCCACTCCGTACAAAGCTTCTTGGCCCCAGAAGGAGCTCCACCAAAGGTTCCAGGGGCGCAGCCCGCATGAATTCTCCCTACCGAGTACAACGTTTCATGGACCCATAGGGAGCTCCACCGAAGGTCCCAAAGGCGCAGTCCGCATGCGTCTCCCGCACCCATTACGACGCTTGGTGGCGCCATAGGGAGCTCCACCGAAGGTCCCACTGTCGAGGCCCGCTCCCCCGCCCGACACAACGCTTCGTGGCCCTAGAAGGGGGCTCTACCGAGACCGACCTATAACTGCGGTATTCACAACTGCTTATGGTTGGGTCCTTCGCCACGCTAATTTATCTTTTATGTACCAGCTGGATCGCTGATCCCCCCCCCCCCAAGGTCTTCACTGCCAGAATTTTGCAAACGATTCGTTCAATTTCAATTCGATTCGCAAGACACTGAACGATGTTCACAGCGAGCTGGCGCACCGGCAGCGAGAGAACATATTCATGCCAACGCCAAAGCACATGCTCAAAGTTGCTTGCAATGCCTCGCCAATGCAGATGACTGTCCATAACAGCATGGCATCGTAACCCCCCAAAGGGCTACCAAACGAATCAGACCAATCAACACGCATAGGCCCCGCCAGATCACAGCGCACAAACACTCGTGCCGGCGATCGTCTCTGTGAACAAGGACAGGGCATGTGTTTGATGACGGCGGGTCAAAGTCGCAATGCGTGATGCTCCCTGGCTGCCGCCTCAGTGCACAGTGACAGAGGATTGAAGCAAGCGTGAGAGAGCACGCATGGCAATCACCAAGCGCCCATGTGCGAGCCATTCTAGTTGCAGCAGCAGGATATTCTTCCCTCGTCCATCTGCCAGCTGAACGCTAATTCGTCCTTCCCCCACGAGCAGCACTAGAATAATTGCACGAACGATTCACTCACAATCGTCTCGATGATAATTGACCAACACAACGGCTCAGAGTGTGCTGGCGAATGGACAGCAGCAACATTTTCAACTTCATCCGTATGCCGAAGCATGTGCCGAACGTTGCTCGCAATGCCGCACAAATGCAGACGACGGTCCGTGACAGCGTGGTATCGCAACCTTTCCAAACGACAGCTGAAAGGGCAAGAACAGTTGAAAAGTTGGCCCCTGGAAGCGTGCGTGAGAGAGAGAGAGAGAGATTGTACGCTAATCGTCTAGATCTGATATAGGAAATGCTGGTCACACTAAGCGCTCATACGTGAACGAATCGAGTGGCAGCACAACCGTCTGCCCTCCTCCATCTACCAGCTAAATCGCTGATGCCCCTCTCCCCACGAGCAGCACTGGCGAAATACGAGTAACGATGCGTTCGAAACCAACTCTCTTCGTATTATCTACAACAACAGCACGTCTCACTGCGAGCTGGGATTCGTGCACTGATTGACGGTCTATTGGTCCGCGTGCTCAGAGTAGTAGGGGGAGGCGAGCTCGTCTGCTGGGTTTCCGAGGCTCCAGAAGCCCGGGAGGTCCCAAAATGTCGCCGCCCTGTCCTGGCTCGCGTGCAGCGCCTCCGCTGGCACCTCGTCGGCGTCGCGGCGGCCCCGGTGTGCGGCCAGCGCGGCGGATACGTCGAGGGCGTCCCTGGTCGGCCCCTTTCCGTTCAGGGGCACTGGCCACGGCACCTCCGCGCACGGGGGCGGCTGCGGCTGCAGCGACTGCGAGCCTGGCTGAGATCCCCGACGCTGGGGCTGCCGTTGCCTGCCGAGCCCCAGCCCGCCGGGATGGCGGCCCTGGCTGGGCGAGGGGACGTCGTTGCCGTCTGGGCCTGAGCCGTGCTGCGGGTCGGGAAGCAACGTCGGGCCCATGGGCTCGCAGAGTTCACCCTGAAGGTGCTGGACGGCCAGGAGGGTGCTGCTCTCCCAGAGCTTCGCGGCGCTTGTCGCTTGCGCGCGCGCGGGGAGAAGGTCCAGACTCTGGGCCAGGTGCACAATGTTGTGCCGCTGCATCTCAGGCAGCCTGGCGGCGATGTGGTCGGATATGGTCCTGACATGGTCCAGTGTTTGCGCGGAATCCTTTCCGGCGAGCTCGCATCTGGCCTTGATGGCGACCCCGCGAAAGAGGGTGCAGAGTGATGGCGGCTGGAAGCTGTCCAGCTGATTCATGCTCTCCCTCAGGATGCCGTCGAAGAAACTGAGGCCATCCACCTCCGCGAGCGTGTAGGCATCCACCATGCACGCCAGACCCTGCGAGGTGAACTCCTGCAGGCGGCCCTCGAAGTGGCGGGGCACCTCCAGGAAGAACTGCCGGTACGAGGGGCTGCAACCCACCTCGCGCGCCACGGCCCACAATATGGCCGACACCTCCTGGGGCTTGTACGCCTCGAGGTTCTGCTCCGTGACCTCGAGCAGCGGCGGGAACAGGCGCCAGCGGGAGGGCACCCCAAGCTTCGCGTAGGCCCACAGCATGTTGGCGATGTTCTGTGGCGGGAGCTCCGCGCGGCGCTGCACGGCGACCTCCATGATGCTCTCGAACAGGGGCGGGTGCGCCAGGCCAACCGTGGCGAACGCCCACACGATGTTCGACAACTCCTGGGGCTTGAAGTTCCACAACGCGGACTCCTGAACAGTCGCCTCCGCAAGCAGGCGAAAGAGGTGCAGCTCCTGGCGCCGCACACGCGCGAACGCCCAGGCGGTGTTCGCGATGCCCTGCGGGCCTATGCTCGACGCGTGCTGCGACAGCTCGTGTGCAACGCTGGTGAAGAGGGCAGCATGGTGCACTTTCGCCGTGCCGAAAGCCCAAACGATCGTCGACAGGCACTGTGGGCTGATCTGCCCCGGCCGGCGGCGCAACAAGTAGGGGGCCAATCCCTCGAAGATGCTCGTGT